AAAGATCACACTGTATCTCAAGGGCGTGACTGTTAGCGATAATATCGTTACTAATGGTAACGAGTTCAAGCATGGCAACTTACCATGCTCGAACTCTACTCAGCTAACCAGCCAATACGAAGACACTGGATTACTAAAAAAACGCAGAATCAGCAATAACCTAGAGTAAGCACTGTAATAGGTAGTCTCTTAATGAGACAGTAATGATCGGGCTCGCACTCAGAAAACTGAGAAGCGATTATGCCCGCCGTCAGAGGACGCTTCGAAGCAGAAAACTCTGACGGAGAAGAGAGAAGATTATTGGCCAACATGAAGAGGAAACTCCGCGAGCTTCACTCAGTAACGTCATCGACCGGAATGTTCCTAGGCAGCTCAAGGTCATCCCAGATGTTGTCCAAGGCCGAAACCAGCATGTCGAGATCTTCTTCAGAGTGCAACGGCAAAGGTGTGATCCTCACACGTTCGGTGCCCCTGGGCACAGTGGGGTAGTTGATCGGCTGTAGATATATGTTGTACTCTTCCAGAAGCTTGTCAGTGACCCGCTTGACCTTGACTGGGTCCCTGACCAACACCGGTACAATGTGACTAGTGCTGTTCATCACGGGAAGACCCTTGGAGCGTAGCTTAGTCTTCAACTGTTTGGCACGTAACTGCTGCATCTCTCTCTCGACACCCGAGTGGCGTAAGTAACGAACTGATGCCAGAGCGCCAGCAGCGACTACGGGGGGAATGGCAGTAGTGAAGATGAAACCAGCGGCGTAGGAACGAACACAGTCGATGAAGTTTCTGGAGGCAGCGACATAACCACCGAAGACGCCATAAGCCTTCCCAAGAGTCCCAGAGATAACATCGATGCGATCAGCAACACCATCACGCTCAGCAACTCCGGCGCCATGCTCGCCGTACATACCAACAGCATGCACCTCATCACAGAAAGTGAGAGCATTGTATTTTTCAGCAAGGTCACAGATCTTTTCCAGAGGAGCAATGGAGCCAGCCATCGAATAGACAGACTCAAAAATGATCATCTTCGGCCTCTCGAGGGGATACGACTTCAAAATGGCTTCCAACTGTTCGAGGTTGTTGTTCTTGAATATAGTCTTCTCACAACCTGAATGGCGGATACCTTCGATCATCGAGGAGTGATTCCCCGAGTCGGAAATCATAACGCAGTCAGGCATGATTTTGCCCACAGCAGAAAGGGCGGCCTCATTGGCTACATAACCGCTGGAGAACACCAACGCGGATTCCTTCTCATGGTTCATTGCCAGCTCTTGCTCAAGCTCAACGTGGTACTTGGTCGTGCCAGAGATGTTCCTAGTGCCACCAGCACCAGTACCACTCGTGTTGATAGCTTCATG